GGGTTGGGCCTCAGGGCAGGCCTTGGCCTCAGTGGGCGGGCCTGTGCCTTGGGTGTTCCTGAGCCTAGGCGGCTTGGCAGAGGGCTGGTCTGGGCCGGGGTAGTAGAGGGCTGGGGGTAATGGCTGCAGGGAGGTAGTATCCGTATTTAATGACGTAAACAATGCCTCTCTCAGTCTCTCTGTACCGTGGGTACCCCAAATTTCCTCATATCCTCGCAGATATCTCGCTCTGTTTATTCGGCTTTGTTAATTTATGTTTCCTTTTCTTTGGAAATGCAGCCTGTTAAGTGGGGTTGCTCAAGCCCTGCATTCCAAGGTCTGCAGCCGGCAGAGGCACTCGCCAGCACTGGCGCAAAAGTGGGAGCCGCGTGCAGGCAGGCAAAAGCTCAAAATGCCTGTAATTCCTTAGCAATTTGATCTTTTAAAAAAAAGAGTTCAGAATGTTGGAATATAAGATCTTATGTTTGTTCAAAGGCTGTCTGTCTGCTAGACAGAGGTTTCTTATGTGCGATTCTGCCCATTTGCCCCGAGACTGCCCTACTTGAGCTGCCTGGTCAAGGAAGCGCTGGAAGTGGATCCCCCACCAGTCTCTTTTGAAGTTATTTATTATGCATATATGTCCTACATATATCTAGAAATCTAAAAGCTTGTGTATTTGTTACTACAATTTTTTGTTTGTAACTTAATTTTTTTCTCTAATACACATGTTGAAAAAAATTTCTTCCATATTAGTAGGAGAGTGCTTCAAAAAAGTTTGAGGAAAATTGAATTAAAAGATACATGAAATTTTGCATGAACTTTTAAAGCCCCTTCATAAATAAATATGTAGTTGTTAGATGCAGGTAAGTTAGTTCTGACTCCTAATGACCCTATGCACAACAGAATAAAACAGGGTCTGGTCCTGCACCATCCTCACAATTGTTGTTACTCTTGAGCCCATTGCTACTACCATGGTGCCACCTCATTTCATTAAGTGTCTTCCTATTTTTCTGTTGACTATCCACTTTATGAAGCACAATGTCCTGCTCTAGGGATTGGTTCTTCCTGATATGTCTAAAGAATGAGAGATGAAGTCTTGACATCCTGGTTTCTAAGGAGTATTCTGGCTGTACTTCTTCCAACATAAATGTTGTTTGTTATTTTGACAGGCCGTGATACTTTCAATATTCTTCTCCAACATCATAACTTAAATCAATTCCTCTGTGGTCTTCTTTATCATTGTCCAACTTCCATATGCATATGAGGCAACTGAAAATACCATGACTTGGGTCAGATTTACCTTCGTCCCTAAACTATCATGTTTGCTCTGACTTTAAAGAGTTTTGTGCAACAAATTTGTTCAATGCAATACATTGTTTCATTTCTTGACTGCTACTTCCATGGATATTGATTGTATATTTAAACAAAATGAAATGTTTGACATGTTCAATATCTTTTCCACTTAACATGTTATTTATTGGTCCAATTGTGAGGATTTTTGTTTTCTTTACACTGAGGTACACTTCTTTCTGAAGATTGTGGTATTGTTCTTCATCAGTAAGTATTTTAAGTACTCTTTGCTTTCAGCAAGCTTGCATCATCTGCATATTGCAGGTTGTTAATGAGTCTTCCTCCAATCTTGATGCATGTTCTTCTTCATATAATACAGGTTATCGGATTATTTGTTCATCATACAGATTGAATAAATATTTTGAAAGAATACAGCCTTGACATATAACTTTTCCTGATTATAAAGCATTCAATATCCTTTGTTCTATTTGAGTAACTGCCTCTTGGTCTATGTGAAGGTTCCTCATGAGCATAATCAAGTGTTTTTTAATACCATTCTTTGCAGTGTTGTCCATAACATTGATCCACACATACAAAAGCTTTTGCATAGTAATTAAAGCACAAGTAAACATCTTTCTGGTAGTTTCTGCTTTTAGACAAGATCTATTTGACATCAGCAATGATATCCCTAGTTCCAAGTCCTCTTCTGAATCCAACTTGACTTTCTGACAGTTCCATTGATGTACTGCTCCAGGTGTTCCTGTATTCTCTTAAGAAAAGTTTTACTTTCATGTGGTATTAATGATATTGTTTAATAATTTCCACTTTCTGTTGGGCCATCTGTTTTTGGAATGTGCACAATGTGTTATTTTTACTATTTTTAACTTTTGCGTAATATTCAGTAACCTATTTCATCATTTATTTTCTGATGAACACTTAAGCAGGTCCAGTCATTTGTAATTATAACTAGCATTGATGTCAACATTCTTGCAAAGTAAACACTGATAAATGGTTTTAACTTTGCAGTCTATTATATCTTTTAAATAGATTCCATGAAGTTCCTATCCAGTGAGGCTACAGTAATTCACACAATTGATCTTTCCATCTATTATTCCATCAATAGGTTGTTCTCTTAAAATCTGTAATTTTTTATCATTCCCATAGTTGTTTGAATGTTAATCATGTTAACATCTACATGCATTCACTTGGACTTTTACCTCAATTTTTCAAAGTAACTAATTCTTAGGTAGTAATTATAACTAAAATTTAATTCTATTTCATTGTCATGTTTTCCCCCAAGCTCTCATATAGCACTTCAGGCAGAAATAAGTGTTGTTTTTATTTTTGTTTTTGATTCCTGATGTGGTTCTGCAGGATAATGCACTGGACTGCAAGGTCAGTTTGAACCATAACAACAGAAGTTCAAACTCACCTGTCCCTCCTCGGAAACCCTAAACAGAGTTGCTGTGAGTAGTCGGAACCCACTCCACAGGCACTTAACAAAAACAACAAGTAGTACTCTATGTGGAGTCCTGGTGTGATGCTGTAGGATAAGCAGTGGACTGCTAACCACAAGGTCTGCAGTTCAAGCTCACCAGTTGCTGCTTGGAAACTCTACACAGTGTTTCCTTAAATCTGTTTCTTGAATCTGAACTGATTCAAAGGCACTTAACAACAACAATAGTAACAACAATGTTCTATACATATCTCATCTATAGCATTTATTATGTATGCAAGTGTGACTTAACACTTAACAACAAGTTTTCTAATGTATCAAATTAACTAAATTGTAATGTCCTTGAAGTTAGAGAGTCTCTCTAATAAAATTGAGACTATCTAGTAGCTGGGTTGTAGACTGGTTGATCCTGCTATATGAGAGGGCGTCAAAAAGTTCGTGGAAAAATTCCTTTATCTTTTAATTCCATGTGTCCACAAACTTTTTGAAGCCCCCTCATATGTTCTCAAGGATCCAGATATAATCAATTAGTGAATTAATTTTCTTCTTTATTTATCCCTCCCTCCTTCCTTTCTTTTGTCCTGTCTTTCTTTGTTTTTAACATTATAATAATGTGAGTGATTAGCAAGAAAGAAAACAAATTATGAGTATATCAGTCATTATTCAGAGTGCTAGAATAAATTAAACTTAAATAGATGCCTTAGTGCTTTACATATGCATATTATTAACCACGGAGTGTGATTATTGATTGTGTGCTTACCTCACTAAGTATGTTTTTGTATATGTATACATAATATATGTAAGCATTTAAATATTCAGATATGGAAATGAATTGTTGCCACCAGCAAACCACTACAAATGAATTCATATCTCAATTAAATTGTGTTGTAAACTACACAGATGATTACCCCAAAGAGCTCATTTTAAATGCATATGACACTTAATGGCTCCAATGGGAAAGCAGCCCTTTAGTAGTGATGAATGCTATAACTTTCAATTGAAGCAAGGTTACTTAACATATTAAGGTTACATAAATTGCTGCCAAATCAGTTACAACTTTACAAATTTAATAATTTGAGTATTCTGGTCAAAACAATTTTCTAAAATTAGATCAGAAGATAGAACAGATGCATATGAGTGTCTTTACACAAAGAAGTGTGATTGTAAGAGTTTTACAGAATTTTTCTTTTGTAATTTTATCTTTTTGTAACTATAGTTAATTTTAGAAGCTACTGTTTTATCATCAAATGCTACAGTTGCCCTAGATGACATCAGTATATCCCAGGAATGTGAAATTTCATATAAGTCAATTCCTGATACCAGCATACAAAATAAAGGTAAGTTTTCCTTATGACTGTTTAAATTTTAGTCCTTGATAAAATATATAAAGCATACTAGAGTTCCTCTGTAATATAGCTCATTAATGCATAAATCTGGGATGTGGATTTTATCCTATGTCCTTGAAACCTAAAACTATTTTTATAGATATAAAACATTATATGTTATGATCTAGGTCAAGGTCTCTCTTCTATTAAAATATGGCTAAAATAGTCACATTGAAATATTTCATTCATTGTTGTTGTTATTATTAGGTTCTGTCAAGTTGGCTCCAACTCATAGCGACCTTTTGGTGTATTTCTAAATTAATATGCACAACAGAAGGAAATAATACCGCATATTACCATCCTCACAATTATTGTTACGCTTAAGCCCATTTTAAAATAATTTAATCATTGTACATATTTTAAAAAACTAAATTATCTATGAATTTTACTTGGCACTCCAAGTAATCATGTGTACAATTCTTATTTCAGAATAACTCAGGAGTTTAAACTAAGTGTGAAGAAGTGACTCTGGAGCCAACCAAAAATTTTAAATTTGACCCCAGAATTCTGTGGTTTACATTTAATGCATAATCATTTTTAGTAATAGATGGAGTTTGACTAATTCCTTGACTAAATGAGAGAGAGAGAGAGAGAATCATTAAAAAAATGATCCCCAAATGGGTATTTCATTTGTTAAGTTTTGCAGGCATACTGAAACCATGTGCATCGTGTTTGCACTTATTTGTCATTGTAACACTAACTGATGTTTCTCTCTGACTATTCCTACTCTGACTCTTAATAAATGAACATTATTTAAAATGTTGCCAGAAAATGGTATACTGTATTTTCTAACTCCCTCTACATTAAAGACATCTTGGTGTGGCACTGTGGGTTAATTCGCCAGATTGCAAAGCCATTTGAAATACAAAATCAGCGGTTCAAGCTCACCAGCTGTTCCTCAGAAACCCTATACAGGGTTGCTGTGGGTCAGAATTGACTGGACAGCACTTAACAACAACAACAAATACATTTTAAAAAATATATTTGTATTTGCAAATCAGGCAACTTATATATTCTGAAGTTGCTTCTTTAAATTAACTCACTAATCACAGTTAGTGAGTGAAAAGTTGCATTCTTACAGGAGCTGTATGCCCTATCAAGGATGACACGAAGTAAAATAGTTCTGAATTGAGAACTGTGTTAAATAACTTTTAATTCAACATCCTTTACTAAAGACTGTTTTCATTTATGAGATTACATAATTCTGCATGTCAATTTTATATCATATAGGGTATTGATTTTATTTGGAATGTGTCGTCCCCCCCCACCAACTTATGATTACCCTCTTAGCTATGTCTGTCTGTATGTTTATGATAGATGAGGAATGAAAAGCAATAGATTAAATGAGTCATCAGTTTTTCAGGGTTGACCAGCATTATCTTATTTCTGACATTGAAATCAACTTATTTTTTTCTTTTAATCAAATACCACACCATCAGACTTGGAATGGAAGAAGGCATTAAAGTTGACATTGAAGAGAATGTACTTGGATATGAAAGTGTGGTTAAAGGCTTGAAATTACCATGAAAATTAATGTTAGCAGAAATCTCTGATGAGTATTTGATCTCACTGAAAATTCTTTTCATAAATTAACTTAGAACTCATTTATAGGTACTTCATCTAATTACCAATTCAATTAGTTAGAACATGATTTTTTTTTTTTTTGCCTTTTTAAAAATTCTGGTGAGTATATATGTCACAAAAAATGTGTCATATTAACATTTTTTTCTCATACAATTCAGTGACACTTGTTATTTTCATCATAGTGTGTAACCATCATCATTATTCTTACCCAAAATGTACTAACATCCTTAACAGAAGTTCAATGGCCCACCATGCATCTTGGTAACCACTAATACACTTTTCCCTTCCCTCTCACCCATGGTGGAGTCCTGGTGTGATGCTGTGAGTTAATGCACTGGATTGCAAAGTCAGTTTGAACCACAGGATCAGTGCTTCAAACTCACCAGTCGCTCCTGGGAAACCCTATACAGGGTCACCATTGGTCGGAACTGACTCGATGACAGTTAACAATAACAACCTATTACTGGTACCCAAGTGTGAAAATCTTTTCTTGACTTTTTCCAAAAGTGATCTCACACAATATTTGACTAATTTCACTCAACATAATGTCCTCCAAATTCATCCATGTTATGTTGTGTTTGGAAGATTCATTGTTATTTTTCCACCTTGCGTGTATGTACCAATGTTTGTCTGGCCATTCTTACGCTGTTATCTTCTTTTCGTTATTGTGAATAATGCTGCATTGAACATGGATGTGCCTGTATCTAAGAGTGTCGTGGCTCTTATTTCTTGAGGATATATAATACCAAGTATAGGGCTAACTGGGTGTAATAATTTCAATTCAAATTCCAACTTTTTGAGAAAGTGCCATACAATTTTTCACAGTGGTTGCACCATTTTACAGTCCCACCAGCAGTGCAGGAGGGTCCCAGACTCTCCACACCTTCACCAGCATTTTTTTTTTCCCTTAAATTTGTTGTTAATGATGGGTTGAAATGATATCTCCATTATTGCTTGAATTTGCATCTCTCTAATAGCTAAAGATCATAAGCATTTCTACATGTTTGTTGGCTGTCTGAGTATCTTCTTTGGTGAAGTGTCTGTTCATGTTCTGTGCCCATTTTTAAATTGAAATATCTTCTTGTTGAGGTGTTGAAGTAATGCATAAATTTTAGAGAGTAGTTCCTTGTCTGAAATGGCATTGCCATTTTTTACCAGCCTGTGGATTCTCTTTTGTACTGTTGGTAAATCCTTTGATACACATCAATGTCTAATATTTTGGAAGTCCCAGTCATCTATTTTGTCTCCTACTGTTTGTGTTTTCAGTTATGTTTGATAGTGTATTAATGCCGTATATCATCGGCCTTAGGTTTGTCCTGTTTTTTTATCGATGATTTTTATAGTTCTTTGTGTAAAATGTTTCTTTGGTCTTTTTTGATTTTCCTGAATTCTTCAAAAGTTTTTCTGTGTTCTCTTTGTTTTCCTTGATCTTCCTGTCAGTCGGCTGAAGGTACCTGAACCTCGCTCTTCTGTATTGTCTCTCAGATATTTCCATTTCCTTTTCTTCTTCAGAATGTTTTCTTGCTCTGCATTTTGGACATTTGTTTGAGCCACTTGGCTGCTGTCTATCACTGATCAGGTGGTATTGGAGTTAGTATTGACTCTTACCCAGTGTGTGGAGCTACAGAAGGTATGGTTTTCTCCAGGTTATTTGGTTACGATTTTTGTCTCCTTTCTTGTAACCAATTGTTTGCATAAATATGCCCTGCCAGGCAGCTATTTGTCTCCAAAGCTGCCTGCAAAGTTCAAGATGGCTGTGCCACATCTGACTGGGAGAACATTCAGCAGTCTATCTCCTGCCTTTGCCATCCCTGTTTCTACTCCTACTAACAATTGAATACATTTCTCTAACCTTTCTTCTAAACCTCAGAAATCCCATATATTTGTTGTAGAGGGTTTTTATGTAACTTGTCTGCCTAGTCCAACTATCTTGCTGTAATTCTCTCAAGCTTAATTTTAATGAGGACAAAGCTATGTATATTATCCTTGGAAAGGCCAATGGCTTTATATATAGAAAAATAACTGTCTCAGTGTTTTTGGTGTTCAACAGGCAATTATAGGATCTTTATGGAATCAAGTATTACTTCTGGATAAAAGATTAGGTAGGGAGAATGACAGAAAGGGAGATGATATAGTATGTGTCATGATGTCAGTCATTTATAACTATATATATTTTT